ATGATTTACTTTTGAATATTTTTGCGCTCTCTCTTTCTCTCTCTCTCTCTCTTTCTCTCTCTCTCTCTCATCTTTTTTTCTTTGCTTGAGAAAATGTCATTCGAGATAGCCATTAATAATAAATGTATACCTTTTCTGTTTCTCTGCTTGAAAAATATAAGTCTTCTTCTTTTCACAAAAGAAAATATAATACTAATTGATGAAGAATTAATGAAGAATTGATTTGCGTATCGGTTAATCTTAAATTTCCGTCCATGTTTATTATATTAGCTGCACGAATTGCATAGAACCTGTTCCGATATTAGAAATGCATGAAATGTGTTAGAGAAACGGAACAAGTCCTGCACTCTATGCCCTGCACTGGATACTTATGCGTTTCATGCAAAAAATGAAATGCAACTTTCAAGTACACATTGGGTACAATTGGATGCCGCTAACCTAACCGTGCTTTTCGAGATATTTTCAAGTGTTACACTGAGATAATCCGGATCGAGGTAAAAACACGTTTGCCCCGGCCAAATGATTTTTTAAAAATATTCAAGCTCTTGCGGTGATCATATATGTGATGTATACTTTCGTGTTTCTGAACAGTTCTGAACTGTACTTACGTGTACCCTTTGTGCACTTTTATACATTAAAATTCTATAGCAAATAAATCCATATTAAACTAAAAAACACATAAGTTAAACATACGTACATATTCTTTAAATAAACTAATTACAATTCAAAAACATTGATTTACATACTAACGGATATATTACATACTAACATTGATTTACATAACGGATTCATTTTCTCAAATAAAATACTTACATACAAATTCATTAATTTGAAATGGCCGCGTTAGGTGTCAAAATGAATGCGAGTTTGCGGTACTTTATAGATCTAGTTACTTTATTGTAGTCCTGCACATAATGAGTGTCGTAGGAAAAAGTATCATGAACGTAACTTACCCCGTGAAGGTGATTTGGTCTGCGGTTAATCTTTCTTCGTGATAAAGACTAATCGCTTTTTCCTACGGCGCACTCATTATGCGCAGAACTATAAAGTTCACAAGCGCGATTGTCGAGAATCGAAACTTAACTCGAAACGCAAAATCGCGTGCCGCGGTCTACATTTATTTACAATACGTAAGTGGAATCTCCTTAAGACTGCAGCACAGATTTTTGTATAACGCATAGTGCATAAACGAATCAACTAATCAGAATTTCCTTTCCTCCCATTCTATAGAAAAGAAGAATTTCGATTGATTGATTTCCTTATGCATTATGCGTTATGCAAGAGTCTGTGCTGCGACCATTAGTCTTCCTTCCTGATTGTAATTAAAACGCCATTCATCCAGTATTTTAGTCGAAATTTCAGTATAAAGAAATTTTTCCTTAACTCCAAGAGATCTCCATATGACAATAGTCTCTTCTGTTGACCCTTAAGGGAATACTGAAGTTATCAACGGAACGTCATTTCGTATTTCTCAAATCATTTCGTTTTCCTTATATAGAATAAAAAATCCTTTTCCAGAATAAGAAAAAACGCAAATACCTTTGGAAAAGTACCGGTACGAAAATCTCCAAAAAATTGTAAATTATAGTTTTCTGTTACCATGTAGATTTGCTTCCTTCACATATACTGGGTGTTTGGAAATTGATAAGTCTTTCATACAGGGGTAGTGTTGAGGAATTGCTTCCTCGGTGATCTGTGTCGCGTGCGTATGTGTATGCTATTTTCACCTTGTCGTGCGTGTGCTTGTATATGGTTGTTATCAGGAAAGACTCAAAAACTTTGTACTTGCTTTATTATACTTTATTATGCAATAGCTCTCAGCGTGAGATTCTGTGTGACTCTTCTCGAATTGTAACGGAGGAGGGCCTCATGCCGCGAGCGCCAACAAGGGGGAGTACGAAATGTGTATGTCGCGAACAACTAGATGTCGCCGCTACATTGGCACTAGTAACTTACGACTATATCAATTCGCTGGTTATTTAAAGTATACGTAACAGGTAGAATGGACTAAACTGAGAAGAAAAATCCTTTACCATTTTACAATTATCGCAATGGTTAACGAGTTATTAACTTATAAAAATAACCAAATTCGTCCAGCCCACCGCCAAATGCAAGCGCGCGACAGGATAGGACTGCCCAGCGCGGTGAAGCGCGTATTCGCCGTCGCTAGGCACATTGTTTATAAACGACAATTGCCGTCGCTATATATTACGTGCCTATAATATTTTATTTAGAATTAAAAATCTGTTTTATCGACATCGATCAAGTTCGGCCATCGCTCCAGTAGAGCGACTCTCAAGGGAGAGTCTGGCAAAGCAATATTCAAGTCACAGTATATACAGTAGCGTAACTTTCTTTTAATGTTAGTGTTTGCTAAAATGGAATGCGCATGCGTGAAATAAGTAAGTTCCCTAGTAACGCCATTTGAATTTCTTTCTCACTTGCTCTTTATTTTTCGATTCTCTCTCTCTCTAGGTCATTTGTATATCAAATTATATAATCTAAATGTAATAGGACTAAAAGGAATAGATTCATAATTGTAATGCATTGCAAAATAAACAAAAACAAAAATAAGAAAATATAAAATTATATAAATGTTGTATGATACAAATATTATACTGTAAAAATATTTTAATTAATGACTGCGGCACACGATGCTTGTTTTCTTAATTGCTTGCGTTTTAGTAAATTATTGTATTAGAATTGCACCACACAGATTTTCTAGTTAAAACAAAAGCAATTCAGCAATTATGCATATTACTCACAGTATTTAAGCGAGAGTGTGTATGTGTAAATGTATGTATGTGTGTGTATGATTTCAGTTAATGGTTCAGCTCTCATTGCATTGTTGTCTTATTTCCAGTTTTGTTGCTGGTGGACTTTGTAATAGTAATTTTGCTAACATCTAACCATTTGCAAGCTACTAATGACTATTGTATTTTATTTTATTTTATGTTATGTCTACTATAGTCTATTGTATCATATTTTATATCTACTCTGTTAATATGTAGTCTTTCTCATAAAGCTTCAATAAACTAAATTAAACTAATCATGATTTTCTTTTCTTCTATCTCTTTCTCTGATCCGTATTTCAGCTACTCAAACATTTAAATGGCTCTGAAAGAGAGAACAAAAAAGAAAGAAAGAGAAATGAGATAGAAGTGTAGATGGCGTTACTGAGCAACTTACTTATTTCGCGCATGCGCATTCCAATATAAAATCAGGAGAATTGCACTACTGTGGTCAAGTTTTGATTGATGCAGCCATGTGCCAAAATTTTCATGTCATCCTTGTTTAACGTTCGGTAAATAACAAAGATGAAGTGATCTAAATATCACCAGTTTGCACCATCAGGGCAAATGTTTGCCAGACTCTCCCTTGAGGATCTCTACAGTAGAGTGCCTATAATAAGAGTATGGCTACCAGGGTAACGATTGGTGATTGGTCCGCCAAATTGAGGCAAAAAGTGGAGTGAGTTGCGTGCCCGTACTATCAGTATACATACGAAGTACATCTTTTACACGGCCATTTACACTGTTTCGAGCGAATTTTCTGTGTGTCAGAGGTGAGTGATTCGTTTGGCGAGTGATTCCACAAGTCAAATTGAGAAGAAGAGAGGTGAATAACGAGTGGATTGCTGTTGGCGTCCGAGAAAATCTGATGTTTCTAGTAAACAATCATATTCTCAAAATGGCCGCGATGTTGAAACCAAGGAGTATGATCGAAGAGTTGCGATCATCGAAAGCCTTCGCGCTGGGCTCAACAACGGAAATAATTTGGTTCTTTGGATTCTCGAAATCAATCGTTTATGACGTTGTGGCAAAATATATGGCTTTAGAACAATCCAACGAAGGTTCCGTATGTTAGCAAGGAAGAGTCACTCGAAAGAACGCACCGCGAGGACCTCCACAGTCGTTGAAAGGGCTCAAGCACTGATTTCGGATGATCCAGGGCAATCGTTGCAAAAATTAGCATCGATTGTTGGTGTAAGCGAGCCAACAATGCGTCGAATTGAGGACTTTCGATACAAATCGTACACATTAAAGATATAACAATTGCTCTCTGAGGCTGCCAGGACAAACCGAGTTGCTCGCCTCGGCTCCCATTCTGGCCTCCCAACAGGTCAGATTTAAATCCCTTGGACTACTACGTATGGAACGTAGTTGAAAGGGTCAGGTCAAACAAGTCTCGGC